AAGAGCAGGGCCTTGTGGGAAACGGCTCGGAGGCACCTGCGGAGTTCGGTCAAGGAGGGAGTGGGTCCGAAGGCTGAGCCGGAACGCAGCAGGCCAGCCTGCCCTCCCCTCCTTCAGGAACCCGAGCCCTGCCACCAGAGGCCCACTCCTGCCTTCTCTTCCATCCCCCGGTGCAGTAGAACAGCCGGCCACAGAAAACGATGCGCCTAAGGCGGTGATCCCTTTCTGCTCAAAAGCGATGGGAGAGAAAACCCCAAGGGTGGACGGATACTCCTTTCGTTAAGCGCACAGCCGGGTCGGGGATCCACGCTGGCGTGATTCACCAGAACTGCCGCCCTCTGCGTCCCAGCCCCTGGGACCCCACGATGACGAAGGACACTGCCCGCAGAGTGACAGGGGGCTCTCTCCGGGTGCCGGTCTGGGGACTCTCCGGGGTGCACTGGGCGCGGACACCAGGAGGGCTCGCTGCCATGCAGGGGCGCACGTGGGGGGCTGCTCCTGCAGGGACCCCAGCACGCCGCGGTGCCAGTGTCTGCTGCGTGCTGGCAGGAGGAGGCCGAGGCCAGGGATGGGAAGGGGGGTGTGTGTTTGAGTTTAACACAATCTTGGGTGTTAGTTTTACGATGTAAAAGGTGAAAACAAGAGAAGCAGAAAAAAATGGTCCACAGCCTCCTTTCTTTCTCTGTTCCTGGGGATTTTTTGAACTTAATAGGGATGATTTCCAAGGCATTTTCACCACCTACCTTTACTGAATGAAGTCAGAACATCAAAGCAGACATTTCTATTGGGGGCAATTTAAAATTTACAGTTGACCCTTGAACAGGGCAGGGTTTAGGGGCACCTACCCCCCTCCCACGCAGCCCTCTAAATTCACAGATTCCTAACCTCAGTTTAAAAACACATACAAAACGCTGTTTAATTTGCAGGCTGGGTTTCAAATAATTACAGTGTTTCTGTGTTTCCAGTGCTTACAGAAACGACCGTTCGTTCTAAAAGTGATTGCCGCCCTGTACACTGTACTGCACTTTAATTTCTCAGGATTACTTCTCCGAAGTTTCAGTTAATTTAATGTTTCTGGTTAATTTAACACGTAGAATGGTCACTGCATCAATTTCTTAGACCCCCATAGACTGCAAGCGATATTATATTTAGAAGTTTAAAAATAATTGGCCTGTTTTCTTATCTCTTTTTTAATTTAGCCAGTACTTCAGAGAAAATATGCTAATAGCATTTCCCCAAGTAATGTCTATAAAAGTTCCCAGGAGACTCTGTAGTTCCTGGCACATGCTCCGTCCCTGTGGCCGTGTAGGTGGTAGCCGTCGGTACAAAGCCCGGTTCGCCCCATCCCCTCACCTGGGGCCACCGCAGGGGGCGCTACTGCTGCCGGCAAACTCACGCTCTGGGCAGAGAGAGTGAGCCGGCGCGCAGCCCGGGAAGGGGAACCGTGGCGCACGCGGAGCCCTTCTCTCTGTGCGCGACTCCGGACCAGTGTGGAACAGACGCCCGGTTTCTTTTTTCATGACGTCCTCATTCCCCGAAACACGACGACGAGTCAGCGGCCCCCCACCATGTGCGGCAGAGCCGTGCCGGTGAGAGCAGGCCTTGCGCATCACGCGAACTGCAGAACGCGGTCAGCGGTCCAAAAATAACCGCCAAGATGCCCCCCAGCACTCACGCCTGCGAGCCTTTTCACAACAGGCCAGACCACCCAAACATCCATTTCTACTTTTCCCAGTTCGTTTCCGTTTGGGCCACTTAATCTAGTTTCTTGGGAATGGAGAGAGAGGGGCGGGGGCTCCTTGGGGACCAGCAGGACACCACGGCGGGTATCTGAGGGGGGGGTCAGCACAGCGCCGCTGCCGCGCGCTCGGGGCCTGGCTGGCTGCACCGCAGCGCAGCAGTGGGTTCAACCAGGAAGGGCAGACCCAACTGTAGGTGCCCTTCTTCCAAAGGCAGGTACTTGTGATTCGTTTTACAAATATTCAGTAAAAAATGTTTTAGATGGAAAGTGATGTTTTAGGTAACCTAGAAAAAGCAGGGGTCTGGAGATTCCCTGCTCAGCAGGGATCATACTTGGACAGGGAAGGTTGGTTTGCTGGGTTGTAGAAAAGCCCGAATAATAATCACGGCCGTCAGCGTCATTTATCTGACGAAAACCCCACTTTGCATTTCATTTACAGTCTAGAGGCTTAATAAGCTTTCCTGCTTATGCCTCCAAACAGCCGTGTGGGGCAGGTGTTGTGACCCCCACTCCACGCGCGGAGAGACCGAGGCTCACAGGTCCCCGGAGTCACTCCGCTGACGAGGGCAGAGCTGGCGTTCACACTCGGGTGCCTTGGACTCCAGTGCAGGAGGACATCCCCCCCCGCCGCCTCCCTCTCCCTCACCCTGGCCCGGAAAACAGAACGTCAGGCGCCCACTGCCGGCCTGTGCACCTCTCCCGTCTCCTTCCCGTTCTCTCCCTTCGTTTTCCCTTCCGCCCTTCCCTTCCCTCTTCTCGGCTGAGTTTTAACTTGTCAATGAGACCCTCACAGTCCAAGCCGCCTGGATCAGATCGGGATTTTGAAACACTGCCTGTGCACGAGCCTTTTGACATGCAGACGCCGAGCCTGGGAACAGCGAGGTCCCCGCTGCCCGAGGGTCACAGGCTTGCCTTGACCCGGAGAGACCAGCTGCAGTCTCCCTGCCACTGGGAGAGAAAGCCTTTGCACGCACGGGGCTCTGTCACCCACTAACGGCTCGGCACACACTCCTGCCCCCACGCAGAGCCACACTGCCCACGGCCGGAGCACACACACGCACACACACAGCAGTGGCCTCCCCGCGAGTGTGTGTGTGTGTGTGTGTGTGTGTGTCGGGAAATTTTTTGTGAATATGGATCACATTGAAAAAATGTTAATTTTTTTCTGATCACTAGAGTAATGATGTTTTTTTTTTAAAAGCTCAATTATTACAGAATTAAAAAAATTGAGAATAGCTCATAATTCCACTAGCTCCTGCTAACCATTTTCAAGACATTCTATTTGCGAATTAGTGTTTCAGGTCAAACGGTTGGGGTTTTTCCCTCCTGCTGTCTGTGCTTTGGTCTGGAGCATCTTGTGGCCGGAGCACCCGGGGGAAGACGGCGGCTGGCCTGCTTTTGCGTGTCCCCTGCTCTTCGCTGTGTGTGCTCAAGCCAAGGTCAGGCCGGGCAGACAAAAGGAGGTGGGGTCTCTCCTCCCAGACGTGATGAGTTCCTCAGTAAACAAACAAACAAAAATCTACAGCGAAGTGTCATTATTAATATTCTTTATTGGGTAGTGTATTGAGTATAAGAAATACTTTTGTGTTAGTTTCGATTTAATTTTTGCTCAGTAAGTATGGCACACATAAATATGGATGAAGAAATGAACGTGTATGAATTTTATTAAAAAGCGGGGATTTTGCACCAGCTGGGATCTGCACCCTGGCGTCCGTAGTTTACAGATGGGGGGCCCAGGCCCCCGGAGGGTGTATTTTGTCAGAGCCCTTCCTCCCTCCAGGCTTGTTTGTGGGTGTGCTCAGCTTGCTTGGGGCACCCACATTCTTCTCGTAGTTCTGTAGGAACCATCGCCAAGTACGATAGCCAGCATCCACATTGGGTGTGGGATCTTCCGGGCGCCTGCCCAGGTAAGCGTCAGGTAAAGCGCCTGGCAGAGCCTGCTGGGCGGTGGTGTGACGCCCGCCTCCGGAGTTAGACCGGGTAGATCCGTTTCCTGGTTCTGACATTAGCTGTTGAATGTATCACCTGGGGTAAGGCGCACACCTGCAGGGAAGCTCCTCCATACGTCCACCCGTGAGATGGGAATGATGAAGTGCTAGCTCCTTGGGAAGGAGTGCGGATTAGCGAGATGATACGTATAAAGTTCCTGGCACAGCCCTGGCCAGGCGGCTCGGCTGGTGGGAGCATCGTTTTGTGCACCAAAAGGGTGTGGCTTCGATCCCCGGCCGGTGCCGGCGCCGACTGGAGGAAGCTGACCCACGTTTCTCTCTCACATCGATGTTTCTCTCTCTCTCTCTCTCCCCCTTCCCCTCTCTCTGAAATCGATGAGCATATCTCCAGTGAGGATTAAAAAATAAAGCAGTAAAACATACATAAAGTTCCTGGCACAGAGTATGCACCCAGTAAGTGTTAGCACGCATCACCGATGTTTTGTGAGAAACGGGATCATACTTCCCGCTCCGTATTAGAGCTGACTTTTTGGACAATCGTGAAGGCACATCCGCCTCATTCTCTTCACGGAGGCTTGTATATATACAATTGCATTCTACCTGCACCAGTGATTTGTCTGAACTCGTGGGAGGGGTCGCCGGGGGGACCCAGGGTTCTGACAGCCACATCCAGACGCCAGAGGCCTTTGGTACCGAAGTTTCATCCGAACAAGAATGTAGTATTGTTGTTTTTTTTTTAAGAAATATGTAAGAATCCTCCTATGCACAGACTGTATTAAGCTGCTAAACACTGCAGGGCGCTGTCCCCTGGGTAGACTTCTGGACTTGTAGGCTTCTGAAATTTCTTAGGACTGGCCCTCCCTTCCTAAAATACCACTGTCGATACCAAAGCACTTGTTTTCTGCCTTGATACCTGAACGGTGAACGTGCACTGACTGTAGTCCGAACGTGTCCCTGGCTCCAGCTTCTGAGCACTCACAAGACTGGCTTCCTTAGGACGCAGGGAGGCCCCCAGATGCTGCCCTCCGCGAGGCCGCGCTGGGGGGCCTTTGTTATTCAAATGCTCGCGGCTCCTCGAATAAAGTGGACAGCTGAGTATACTTGTCACAGTAAGAGAGATGATTAGCGGGGGGTGGGGGCGGGGGGGGCGGGGATGGACAGTGGGCAGTGGCTCGGAGAGCTGCCTTTGTCCCTGCAGGGCCGGCCCTCGGTAATTACCGGAGCGAGCGGGTCTTGGTTTCAGGCCCGCCTCCTCCTTTTCCACGCTCGCGGTGTCTGAAAAGCTTTCTCCCGCCCCTTAATCCCCGCAGGAATGCGGCTTCGGCTACGGGGAGGACGCCCAGTGCGTGACCTGCCGGCCGCACAGGTTCAAGGACGACTGGGGCTTTCAGAAGTGCAAGCCATGCCTGGACTGCGCGGCGGCCAACCGCTTCCAGAGGGCCAACTGCTCCGCCACCAGCGACGCCGCCTGCGGGGACTGCTTGCCGGGGTAGGTCGCGCGGTTTCGTCCCCTCCTCCTGTCTCGACCGTCTTGAAACAGGCATTTTCCCTGGCCTTTTCCAACTGCGGCTGCGCACTGCCGTGAGCGAGGGGTCGGGCCTCGGCCTCTCGCCGGTCACCGCCGGGTCTTCGGGGCCCGCGCACGCAGGGGCCCGGCGCCGGGTATAAATAACGTGAGTAAGCCCGCTAGCAGAGGATTAGTGCCGCAGGACTCTCGAGTTCCGATAAATCAGTGACCAAGAACAACACGGACAAAAGGGAAGCGCCTGTGGCCTGCCATCCCGGCCGGGGCTCGCCGTGCCCGGGGTCCGAGACCGGCCGCCCGCGATCTGGTTCAGGCGCTTCTGCGGCTCCGCGCGCGGCTGCCCTGCGGCTGGCCGCCGGCCACGCCCGGCGCTGCTCGGGTTCCGAGCGAAGAGGCCCACGCACGCCCGGGGAGATTCCACCCGAATCAGGTTCTCAAAAAAAGCACCTTAGCAGTAAACACTGAAGAAGCAAACTGCGCAGAAATGCTGGCGACGACGCCGCCTACGGAAAACAGGAAAACCTAGCGCCGCGGAGGGGCGTCGGCCGCCGGAGCGGGGGACCGACTGGGCGCGGCCCTGCAGCGCGGGCGGCACCGCGGGGGCGTCTGAGCCGAGGCGTGCAGAGAGGAGGCCGCGGCCCAGCCGCGCGTGGGAAGGGCACTGGCCCCGGGAGTGCGAGAGACAGGCCGCAGGGTGGCCGTGCGCCTGGCATTTCTTAAGGAGCTGCAGGAGGCCAGAGTGTCTTCAGGAGGAGCGAAGAGTCCAGTAGAAATAGGGCGGGTGGACGGGAGTGGGCACGTGCGAAAGTGGAAAACCTTAGTGGTGAGCGCTGAAAAGGACCCCGGACCTTGGAGAGGCGAGACCTGCACCTGGGCCACGGGGAGAGGCAGGGCCCGGGCGGAGGGATTTTGAAGTCCGCAGTTTCCCGGCCAGGTAAGCGTTGCATAGGTACTCAGGGACCACGGGTGGGTACCTGACCCAAAGTGGGTCCGGGTTCAGCCCCGGACCCAGAGTGGGGTTTGGGGAGGCACGGGTGGTGATACCAGTGCAGGGGAGTGAGAGGCGTCGCCGCCCGAGGGAATGGAAGGGAGACAACGCGGAGCATCAGGACGCTCTCACGGGGGCACGGTGCCGGCCGCGTTAGCAGCCGGAGACGGCCGCGAGGAGCCGGCACTCCCGGCGCCGTGGGGGGCGGCACTGCTGCAGAAGGCAGACCACCACCGGAAGAGCAGCCAGCGCGGCAGACATGGGTTATTGATAACGAGCCGGGCACTTGGCTGCGTGCTGTGCACGAGTTATGCCATGTAGTGTCCACACTACAGGTGCCTTGGAAATGAAGGAGGAGTCTCATCCAGGTTGAGGGCTTTTCAGGCACGGTCACTGAGCCAGTGGGAGCCCAGCTTAGCGGGGGGGACCTCTGCAGGAGCCGAGCCCACTGCTCGGGAGGGGCATGCCCACAAGACCGGGGCGCTTTTGACTAAATGGCACAGGGTCCTCCTGGGGCTCCTGCTGGGGTCAGAGGGCGAGATAAAGCCTGGACGTGAAAGGCCGGAGCAGGTTAGGGACGCGCCCGAGGGTCAGGCATGGTTGTAGGCAACGACTCAGCGCCCAGACAGGAGCGAAAAGCCGGTGTAACACCCAGAGCAGCCGAATAGAAGGTAGCTGTACTGGGGTCACTCACGATGAATGTCTTGTCTACTTCAAAGGGTGAACATGAAAAGGCAATCCGCAGGATTAGAGAAATTATTTGTAAATGATGTATGTCATAAGGGACTGTCTTATCTAGACTCTTACGGAACGCAGCAATAACAAGGAAAATAACCCAATTAAACTATGGGCAAAGAATTTGATTAGACATTTCTTCAAAGAAGACATACAAATGCTCAGTAAGCACATGAAAAATTGCTCAACGTTATTAGCCGTCAGGGAAATGCACATGAAAGCTGCCCACCACAGACCCACAAGGATGGCTGTTACCGAAAACGCAAACAGTAATCGGTGTTGGCGAGGATGCGGAGGGACCGGAACCCGCGTGCACTCGTGGATGTAAAGTGATGTAGCCACTTTGCACAGTCTGGCAGTTCCTCAGCAGGGTCACGTAGCTACCATGTGGTCGGCAACCCTGCCCTTAGATACAGAACCAAGACAACTGGAAACACATCCGCCAATGTGTTACTCACAACAGTCAGGAGTAGAAACAACCCACATGTCCATCCACTGATGAATGGACAAGCAAAGTGCAGTGTATTCAGACACTGGAGTTTTATTCAGCAATAGAAAGGAATGCACTGCTGATGCATGCTGCAACACGGATGAACCTAGAGAATGTTAAGTGAAAGAAGCCAGTCCCAAAAGACCACCTATTGTATGATCCCGTTGCCTGAATTATCCAGAGGAGGCACATTTACGGAGGCAGAAAGTACGTTAGTGCTTGTCTCGGGCTGGTGGCGGTGGTGGTGGAGGGTCGAAAGCATGGTGGGTACCCATGTCCTAAATCTCCGAAGACCTGGGTACCTGTGCGTATCGTTACCCAGGGGGTTGACCTTTGCCAGTCTAGTGAGGAACCCACAGCAAACATCTGGCACATTTTTATTGTTTCCGGTGTCCAGTTGGAGCTCCAGGGTCCCGTCCGCCCGGGAGCTCCTCCCTGGCGGGCTGCCCCGAGCCCAGCCTCGGCCGTGGTCATCGGAGCCCAGTCTTCAGTGTCCAGGGCCTGCTGCTTTAAGTGAAGGCTTCGATGCCGGCGAGTTAGAAATGAATACACATTTGAGTGATGTTTCTTAGTTTATTCCATGATTACTTTAAAATTACATCCTTCCTGAGCCAACATGAACGTGTGTGAGAGGCAGGCAAGAGTTTTACAGTGACTTTTACCCAGGTTTTCCGGTGTTTTAACGGTGCTCATCCAGCTTGGAGTGTGATTCGTGAATACTCTCTCCCTCTTGCAGGTTGCCCTTTGTGCTGATCGTATCTTTTACGTTTAATCCGGAAGGAATCATTACTTTATTATTTTAAAACTATTTTTGGCAGGACTTAATTTTTTTAAAGCACTTTAGTAAGGTAGGATTGTCGTGCGAAAGCCGCACACATTTAATGTACACGGCTCAGTGAGTTTGGGGGTAAGTGTGCACGGATGGGTCCTCTGACGCCCCAGCGTGAGGTTCGATGGAGTCCAACTCGTCTTGTCTTTCCTTCTCTCTTTTCTCTTCTTTCCTTTCCTTTTCCTTTCTTTTCTTCTCTTTTCTCTTCTCTTCTTTTCTTTCTTTCTTTTTCTTTTTCTTTTTTTTTGCTGCCTGTTTTGTATGCCTTTTGGTGTTACCGCCAAGAAATTATTGCCAAGTTCAGTGTCATTAAGCTTTTCTCCTACGTTTTCCTCCAGGAATTCTATAGTTTTGAGTCTTCCATTTAATCCATTTTGAATTAACTCGTGTATATGGTGTAAGTTAAGGAGCCAAATGCATTCTTTCTCGTGTAGCTACCTGGTTTTCCCAGCACTCTCTATCGAAGAGAATGTCCCATCTCCATTCTGCGGTCTTCGCTCTCTGGTCGAAGGGTGTCTGACCATTTCCACGGGGGTTCGTTTCTGGGTTCTCCCTTCTGCTCATCGGTGCCCATGCGTCTCTTTATGCCAGCACCACATTGCATTGACTAACGGAGCTCTGTAATACTTTGACATCACGAAGTGTGAATACTCCAACTTCGTTCTTCGATTTTGACTTTATAAATTCCAAAATAAATATCTTTAGTTAAAATTGGGTGGAAACTCCTTATATTAAAATCATTTGAACACTCACAGTCCAATGAAAATGGAACGCTGAGCCAACAAGGAAGGTATCGGGCACCTGAGGTGACTTACCTGGTTTCACAGGTAAACTTTGCTTCAATCATGCAGTATACGGATTTGTTACCGCTTTATCCGATTTCACAAAATAATTGCATCTGCCTGTCCTGTACAGACATGGTCTGTAAGCTTATTCTCCATAGCACTGTTTTCGTCATAGAGAAGAGGTTGGTAGTTTTCTCTATGACAGAAAATTGCTTGAATTCTCACCATCGTGAAATCATCACTTTCATATTGGATGTATAATATTTTTCTATTTTTTTTCAGTGCAGATATATACATATGAATGTCTGTAGTGCATTGGTAAATACTCTGAAGCTGTAACAAAGTGTACCTGCATAGAATGGAATTCTGTTATTCACTCCTTTTTCACTTAATGCTGTTTCATGAGTCAAACGTCACGCATGGCGGGTCCGCACCCTGTTCCGAAGGCCCACTGTGCGCTCTCCGGCCGGGCCCCACCGCAGCTGCTCACACCTACTGTGGGGCACCGGGATGGTGCCGGCCTGGCCTTTTCCCTTCCGTAAACAATACCGTGATGGCATTCCTACACACACAGTTCACCCGGCTGATTCTTCCTGTAGGACGTATTTCAAAAAATGGTATTATTATCAGGCAAAGAGTGTCAGTAAACTATCTTATTGCGTTCTGATGACATGTTGCTAAATTGCCCTCCTCCAAGTGGCAGTTCACCTTCCTGCTGGCAGTCTGGACTGCTCGTGTGTGTATCTTCTCGGTTTCCAAGTAAAAATGGTGTATTTCCATCACCATTTAGAGTCACCTGATTACTAATAAAGTTAAACATTTTAAAGTTAAATTTTATAAATTTAATGGTATCATTCTTTTTAGTTTTAATAATGAAAATTAGGAATGATGAAATGATACTCTTTGGGGAATGAGTGCTTTTTGCCTGGTTGTTCCTTTCACTGTAACGATGTTTCAGTTCAGTGTCACAGACTGGGGTTGTAGGAGGTGCTGTGACCAGAGCCATTCCTCTGTTTTCTCTGGCCGGTTAACGGGGCCGGTGATGCTTTGCTGGCTTTGCTCTCCGGCCGTCTGTCACGTTCTGCGAGTGTGTGTGTTTTCAAAGCGGTCCCTCTCTTCCGCTCCGGCTCCCGTGGTGCGTTTCCCGTGCTGCCTAGAGAGACGTCCCCATATCAAAACTGTGTAAGCACCTCCCCACATTGTCCCATTGCTTTTACGGGCCACTGGACTATTTTCGTCTCTGAATTTCAAATGTTAAAAACTAGCACTTTATTTATAAGGTGTTTGATCCTTTAAATTGATTTCCTATTCCCTCACCAGCACCCCTCCTCCCAACATAAAAAAAAAGTGAGGCCAAAAAATCTACAAAGTTAGGTTGAGTGGCATGGGTATTTTTTAAATGCTCCCTGCACGCCCAGAGGGCTTTCCGAGGCTGGCTGTCTAAATGCTGCCACAGTTCAGGCTTTGAGGATCTTTTTTTTAAACAGTAGAGCTGGTTAAAGAGACTGCCAGTAATTCCTGTAATCTGCTCACTGCGACCACGCGCTTTGGTGAAGGAGCTAACGAGCACTGTTTCCCTTTTTCTCCCAGGTTTTACAGGAAGACAAAGCTGGTTGGTTTCCAAGACATGGAGTGTGTGCCTTGCGGAGACCCGCCTCCCCCCTACGAGCCGCACTGTGAGTGAGCGCCGCGCAAACACAGCTGAGGGCGCCTGGCCTTTAAAAAAAAACAAACCCCTTTGTTCACTCGGCAAAGGGAGCGAAATCTCTCTCTACGGTGGGGCTTCGGGTGCGCGATCTTTCCTCCAGCTCCGGGCAGGACAGAAAGCCCTTTTGTTGAGCGCCCCCGTCAGCAAACCGGCCCGTTGACGGGAGGGAGGCTCCCAGGGAAACACGGACACTTGGCGCTGCGGGCTCCATGGAGACACTTGGCTTTCACTCCAGATGGCGCGCGGGCCGCTCCAGTTAGCCAGGTGGTCGGACCCCTAGTGGGTCCTGCCTCTGCGCCAGGGCCCCACGAATGCCCGAGTGTCCCCATCTCAGACTCCAGACGCTGTCTGTGGCATCCCTTCTGCCGGTCCAGACACACTCCTCTCCGTGCACTGCCTGTTCTAATGAACGCGTTGTTCAGCGAACAATTCACTTGCTCCTCTGTTTTCCTGGTTGAACGAATAAGTAAGGAGAGAAACCCATGGTGTCGTGGGAATATACCTGTACATGAGAAAGTGGTCTTTTTCTATTTACAGGAACGTTACTCTTTCTGACTATACCTTCCCCTTAGATATAAAAGGTATTCGTTACAAGTTCTGTGTATGAACCTGCATTGACTTTGAGGGGGACTCCTAAGGACGAACCTACACAGTGACAACCCACAGGTGCTGGGCCAGGTGTTGGGCCAGGAGCGAAATCAGCAGGTGGCCCTCGTGCGCTCAGCTCACGCTCGTCTCTGCTGAGCAGGGCGTGGGGAACTGTGCCCGCCGTGCCCAGGAGGTCTCGGGTCCCGGCGGAGGAGGCTGGAGGGCTTGGACCCCGAGCGTGGGTGGCTCATGGCTGCTCAGGGAGCATCGGTCTGTGGAGGTAGGGGTTGTGCGGATCCCATCTGCAAAGCAGCGGGTGTGTCCTGGTGCATCTTTCTGTGACAGAAGCCTCCTCTGCCCTAACGGAAAGCTGTGGCGTTACTGGGTAGGGTCACATGGCATCCACGTCTCCCAGAACACCATGGAGATCTGCAATCCCTATTATGATGTCCTTTACCAGAAATGCATTATTTTTCACTCTTCATTTGAAGCGATAGCAAAGCAAAAAAAAAAAAAAAGCATACTCTAACTTTCATAGAAACGTGTTTTTACCCTCATTTTATAATATCCGAACATTCACCGAGTAACTCATTGCAGTCAACAAGTGCAGCAGGGAATGTCCATTCTGCATTAGTCGCTGGGGGACAGTTTGTTCTACCGAATTTTCTCAGTGCCGCGCCGTCAGCCCCACTGGTCAAGGGGGACGCCCAGGCCCAGAGCGGCCCACGGCTTGTGACTGTGGGCTGGAAACCAGCAGAGACGGGATTCGAACCCGAGCCTGCACTCTGAGGGGTGGGCCCCTTCCCCTGCATTCCGCTGCTCCCCCAAGGGAAGCCCAACTCTCCTCTCGTGGCTGATGAAGTCTACTGTATGTAGACTTTTTCGTACATTGTTTGTTTTAATGTTCACAATTTAAGGAGAACCCTGAAAATCTAACAGAGGAGATCCTGAAAGGGCCTCTTTATGCTAAACCACCCGTAAAATGACCTGGTCTCTGGCCAATCACAACCGGCGACCTGGCCACGCCTGTGAGTCAGCTGGGCCTCCGTCTCCTCCTCCGGAAGGCGGACTGAGCTCTTCCTCCCGAAGTGCCAGGGAAAGACTTAGGGAAGGAATCAGTGTTGCCCAGGGTCGAGTTGGGAAGCGCTGGGTTAATTTTTCTTTTTTTGGTTTAATAATCTAGTCATAAGCCTGAGGCATGGGAATTTTTTTGCCTTCGGGGATCTGGCTCAGTTTGGACATCATAAATTAGCCTTTAAACGTAGATTTTGCATTTAACTTTTAACATCTCGTAAAGCCCTAATTAAGTTACAATTTGAAAAGAAAAGCAACTAGTTTAATTTGCATGTACCGGTATAGTTCTCTGTGTGGGACACTATCTAGAAAGCAAAGAAAAATCAAGGATGGTTCGCAGTCAGAACTGCAGGTGCACAGAGAGCCTCCTCTGGGACTGGGAAGCGGCGGCCGGGGTCTTCGCTCAGCCACCGCCCTTATCTCTGGGCAGGGAAGGGCGCTGCCCTGGGCGCAGCCCCGGGAATCCGTCCAGAACACGACCAGTCTCCTCCACGGAGATCTCGACGTTTGGGGGGAAGTTATGTAAGGCGCCTCGTGTTTTCATTTCCCTGCTTCGGGCTTTTCAGCTCATTCACGAAAACACGGCTTCTGCGGCGGTTTTTGCCCCGCGAGGAGCTCCTGCTTTAGTCAGACTCTTGGGTAGCTGTCAGACAGTGGCGCACGCAGCTGCATGGGGTGTGGCGTGTGTGGCAAGGAGACAGGCCGTGGTGGGACAGGCCGGAGCTCCCTGAGCCCCAGGGCCAGCCCTGGCTTGCGGCCCTAGGCAGCCCTGCAGCCCGGGGCCCTGCCTCAGAGCCGCACAGCCGCACAGCCGCTGGCTCAGCCCGGCCTGTAGGCCTCTCTCTGGGCCTGCCGCACCGCTCTGGTCTGGACGGCCCGACCCGGCCCCTGTAGGGCAGGATCTGGTTAGATACCCGTGTCCTACGGGGCAGAGGCTGCTCCGTCTACCTGTGGAACAAACGCATGGGCTCCAGGCACGCAGCGCCGGGCAGAGAGACCCCGGTCCTCGTCTTGGGGGGGGGCAGTCTACTGGGGCTGTGGCCCACTGACTGCTCCGACGGCAGCGGTGCTCAGAGACAACGCCTGCGGAGGGGCAGCGGCGACGGCTGGGGGGCGGGGGGTGTGGCGGGCGGTGACGTAGGAGCCCGCGGGGAGGCCCGCAGCTGGGTCAGCTGGAGGAGGGCGAGCGGAAAAGGGGACCCGACGGAGGGTGCGGGGATGTGCGGGGAAGCCGGGGCAGCAGCCTGGCCGCAGCGTCAGACGCTGCGCGCACGTGGGGTCCGTGGACACTGGCAGTGACCTTCCCCCCTGGAGCTCTTGGTGACAGGGCCCAGAGCCCTTCCCAAGAGTAACGGGAGTGGAGGCCGAGGTGGAAGGAAACCAGGAGATCACGTGGGGGAGCTGGAGACCCTTCTAGACAACTCCCTTTGCCCGTGAACGTGGCCCGCGGAGCGCGGTGCGCAGGCCAGGGGGCGCTGTTGTAATCTGCGTGTTTTCACGCCGAGAGGCCAGGCTCACCAGGCGCGCGAGGTTGGCTGGAGAAGGGTCCGAGGCTCAGGTGGCCGCCTGGGGGAGGAGGGGGCGGGGCAGGGGGAGGGGGCGTGTCGCTCAGCGACGGCGCTGCTGGGCCTCTGGGCGCCACCGCGGAGGCCGCGCTGCGTTCTGCCGGGTGGGGTCGGGCGGGGCCGCGGAGCTCAGAGGCTGGAAGGCACAGGGGCTGGAGGTTGCCATGACAGAGAGTGGGAGGCCAGCGGAAAGCGTGGGTGTCCCGGCCGCCAGGGCCCTGCCCAAGTCTGAGGTGACAGTGACACACGCTGCTCCTCCCAGGCTGTCCCGGGCTGCAGGCCGGGCTCAGGCCGCCCGGGACGCGGCCCCCGGCTACACGCAAGCCGCCCCCGAAGTGTGCGGCTCACAGCCAGCTGCGGACAAGGTTGTGAGAAGGACGGCCGTGTGCACTGACGACACGAGACTGACTCTGAGTGAATGTCACACGCCTTTGTGTCTCTCCACAACACCTGGAGCACGCCGAAGTAGCGACGGGAAACATAGCGAGGCAACCTCCCCAGGGGCCCCCCGGCCCACAGGTGTCTGCGGCTGGTGGACCTTTGGCCGGGTGACCTCCCTAACGCGCCCAGGGCTCCGTGTGGTCCCGAAAACTGGGGTGCCACGACCCTGCAGGTTGTTGTGAGCGCGGAGTAGCCCGTAACCAGCGGAGGCTGCCCAGAAGAGTGTCTCAGCGGGCAGGGCCTGTCCCTCCTTCCTGGGCCCGCCCGCCGTGCCATGCTCCGGGGATGTTGAGATCCCATCCCCCGGCATTGGTGGGGGGCACTTGTTGTCTCGAGGAAGAACAGGCAACTGCCCAGGGGCTTGGCGTGCAGCAGAGGCTGGGGTCAAGAAGACCTGTGAGCCAGGGGTTGTGGGGCCGCCCTACCAGTGTGGGATAAGAGACAAGGAGGCACCGGCCGGCAGGTGTGATTTCGAAAACGAGAGAGAAGTTTTGATCGCTCGCGCTAGTTTCTGCCGGCCCCAGCGTTAGACCGTCCTCACCAATCTGGCGTCTGTCAGGGGCGGCAGTGCAGAGCAGAACACGGTGGGAGACCCGTCGCAGGATGCCTTGGGTTCACTCCAGGCCCTGGACCGAGGGCGTCCTGGCAGGCAGATTCCCTCACCACCTCGAACCTCCGTCTGCCCCCTGGAGGGTGGGCAGAGCCGTGCGGGGCCGGCAGAGCTTGGATGGGGACAGGGGGAGTGTCCAGAGGTGGCCCGGCCAGAGCGTGCACGTGGAACCACTGGCTGCCCACTGGCCCTCCCTCCTCTGGCGCCGGCCGCCTCTGCCCGCGGCCTGGGGCCCCGCCCCGGCCAGGTGTGCCCTGTGGGGTTGGGAGCTGCCCTCTCGGGAGGCCCTCATGGCGCAGCTGGCGTGGGTGTTTGCCTTGCTGGTGCTCATCCCCCCAGGGGTGGGCAAGACGCCTAGAAAGGGGCTGCGGTGGACTTGTGTGTGCCCGCCCCGGATGGCTAGGCTGGAGGCCAAACGGGGCCCTACTCAGGCCGAAGTCTGTTCTGTTTGTCCGCCCGGGGTCCGAGGCCGCGTGCCCTGTGCGCAGCCAGCCGGGGCTTTGGGCTCCCCGCCCCTCCAGAGCAGGAAGGACGGGCCACCTCTTGGTCAGCCGCCGAGAAGGCATTCCTGCGTGCGGGCGGCTGGGGAGGCTGGGGCCCAGGGCTGGCCAGCGGCGTCTCTCTGAGCCACAGGAGAATGCAAGGGACCCTGTCCTAGCACTCTCCGCTTGCGGCTCTGCTCCTCTTGGC